ATTTTAGTTAGTTGGTTATGTATTTTTTAAATAAAAAAAAAATTTTGAATTTACTTACTTGTAGCCAGAGTTAGAGGTGGTCGGATACTTATGACCGCTACTGTATTTATTCTTTTATTCACAGAAACTAATTTAATTTTAATGACAAATTTGAGAATGATATAATTTATTGAACAGATTATAAATATTTCTAAATTTTCTATTAATAATAAATAAAGAAGAAATATAACTTAAAAAGTCTTCTTTTTAATTATTATCAATTTTTCTATATTTTAATTTCTATTCTTATTTTAATATTTATTTCTCTTTAATATCTGTTTTATTTTCAATATTTATTTTTTCTAATATTTGTTTCTCTTTTTATATCTGTTTTTTTCAATAATTATATTTTGACTAAAAAGTAATTTGTGATAGCAAAAGTTTAATTACAAATTTAAAAAACCTCCATTAAGTGATATATGATAATAATCTTTCAGATATTCTTTTAGAAATATTTATAGAAACTAATGTAAATTTTAAATGTTTTAGCAAAAGTTATAATTTTAATGATGAATAAGATTAAATATTTCTAAATATTCTTCTTCTAGATAGTAGAATTGTGATTAGAAAGGATAAAATAAAAGATATAAAAATTAATATTACCATTTTCTTCTTTTTAATTATTATTAATTTCTCTTATATCTATTCTTTGATTCTTGTTTCTTTTTTATTACTTATAAACATTTTTCTTTGATACCTTTTCTTCTTATTTCTTTTTCTTCTTAATATCCACTTTTTCTCTAATGCCTGCTTCATCTATTATATTCATTTCTTTTCTAATAACTATTTTCTTTTAATATCCATTTTTCAATACCTCCTAATTTCTAAAATTAATAGAACTCTGAAAAAAAACAATATACAATTAATGATAATTATTAATTATTAACTTAAATCTAAATTTATATAATAGTTTTTTTTTACTTTATTATTTTACATTATATTTCAACTACCTTAATTTATTAAATATAATAATTATTTTAATTTATTTAATTATATATAATTTAACCTTAAATTTTTTATATAATATTAAAAAAATTTTACAAAATCTTAAAAACTTTATTAAAAATTTCAAAGCAATTTAATATATTTATTAAATATTAGATTTATTTTAGTTACATTATTAAAAATTTAAATATTATAAGAAGAATATAAAAATAAGAAAAAAAATATTATTAAAAATATAAAAATAAGAAAAATAAAAAATAAAAAATAAAAGCAAATATGCTTAATAAACCATTGAATATACTGGTAAAATTTTCATTTATGACTATTATTATAACTATTATTATATAGTTTGTATTATATTTTTTACAATAATTTTTCCACCGTTACTATTAGCAATGCATTGGAGGATTTTGCCACTTCAATCATTGAAGTAATTCTCAACCAAAGTATAATTATGGCAGTGTAATTATATCCGAAATGTAATATAATTCGGAGTAATGAATTGGGTATTTAAAAAAATTGATTATATGAAATTTTAACTTCATAAGTTTAAATAAAACTGTAAAACTTCAAAAAATTTATTATTAATTATTTAAAAATAAGTATTATTTTTAGCTAATTTTTTCATAAATATGAAAAAAATTATAAAAAATAATGTTAATTATATAAGTTAATATTATTTTACTTTATAATAATAATAATAATATTTATTATATAATAGAGCTAATTAATTTAAAAATAAATTATTTACATTCGATTTTAATAATTATAAAATGTCATTTTTTTGTTTACCTATTATTATTTATTATATAAATAATTAAGTAGAAATAATATTTTATTGTCGTATAGACGAAGGAAAATAGGTGTATGGCCTCCACTCGTTAATGCGAACAAACGTCTAGACGGTAGAAAAATAACTTTTACCAAGAAAAGAAGAAAAAAAAAGTCGCGTCGGAACTCCATTTATCGTGGAATTCTGATTTATGATTGGTCTTTTCATCATCACGTATTTGTCACGGGAATACAATGAATTATATAATTTATTACGTTTATTTTCTAAACGATTCATTTTACAATGTACAATATGAATTTTGCGAAACAGGATTATATGATTATATATCTAGAAAACTAGCCGAAACGTAAAAGTAAAAAAGTAAAAAAAACTTATTCTTCAGAAACCACCTCGTTTTCAACCTCATCATCAATCGCATTAATTAATCTAATATTAGATGAACTAACAGAATTAACATCAATTTGAGTTAAATTTTCCAATTTTTCTGTTCTCAAACATTCATCACATTTAAAATCAGCTTGCATATTACCATAATCAGCACATTCAAAGCAACCATAAATACTCCAATTTTTTCTATGTGAATCTCCATTGCACGTCAGCTTCATGCTTGCTTTTTGCTGATTACACACATCACACCAGGGAACTTTAATTGTAGCTTTTGAATTATTTGATAATTTTTTCAACGTAGACTCTAATGAATTTTTCACCATAGGAAACCACCAATCCTCAAAACTATGACCTACGTGCCAATAAATTGTCGTTAGATTACAAATAGGTTTCACGACGGTTGTTGATGATTGTTGTTGATTCTTCTCATTTTCTTCCTTTTCCTGAACATCCGCTTGTTCTTTATCGTTATATAACTCTTCAAGAAGATCTTTAAAAATTTTCATATTCATATTATCTTTATAAGTTCTTAAATGTAAACTTTTGAGATTTACACAAGTTTCCAATATGATCTTTAGACTATCTTTATTAATGTTAATATCATTAACTAATAATTCCCTTATAAAATTTTTTGTATCATTCGGTATATTGCAACAGAATATATTTGATATAGTAGAGTTTGAAATATTTTTTAATGGATTTAAATTTAACTTTGACCATAAAATATCATGATTAAATATAAAATGTTTTAAGCTCTTACAAACACTTGATAATATCATCGTACGTGTTTGTAAGGATGTTAATAATAATATTTTTCCCAGTATTTCTGGTGGTAAATGAAGAAACATTTGCCGCTTTCCTGCTGAATTTGTTTTATTCATTGAAACGAAAAGAAACAGAAAGGATGATTTTCGGATTAACGCCACCGTAGGGGGTTAAAAATAATTTATATCTGGTATAGGAACGATCAACAAGTCGCATTAACTGCGCTGATACTACGCCACGTTCATCAGGCGAAGTAATTTTAGTAAGTTTGCGCTTCTTAATTGGAACATTATTTCTATCGGCCGTGATTTTCTATTGGAGACCCTACGATCAATCGATTTACTAATATTTTTATTAGAAATGATGTCTTTTTGATTTTTAGATTTTTTCCTCCCCCTTGTCTATTTAAGGAAATCAATTATCACGTGATAATTATATATTGTAAAAATACTAATATAAAAAATAACACTTAGTTTATCTAAACGAAACTATTTGATTAATTAAAGTTATTATCAAAGTATATATTTTATATAATGTATCAGTTAATTAGAGTTTAATTTAATTATTTTATTCTTTTTTTTACAAGATTAATTAAAAATTAAGATTGTTATTTATTTAAGGGAGGATGTAATTTATTTCTGAAATAAACAAAAGATGTTAATTGAATTTTTTATTTACATGTAATTACATTAAAATTAAATTTGAAATGTAAAATAATTCTGATTCTAAGGAATTTTCTCTTTGTTTTTTTATATATTTTGCAAGGTTGCAATTTTATTGTTTTTATGATTAATAGATTAGTTTTACATATGAATTCTTTAGTATAATTTATCAACTTATTTCTTGTATCATAATTTCTAACTAGAGTCATAAATTGTTTATTATTATTAATCTTTTCTTCTTTACTTAAATGCATATTCTTAACATATATCTTTATAAATGCTTTTATTAGAAAATATTTTCATATTTATAATGTATATAGATGCTTTGAAGTATAAAGGAAGAAAACTACCAAAAATTTTTTTGAGTTAATATTAAATTTGAATTTACTTTATTAAAAAAATAAGATTTATTTATAAAGTAAAAAAAAAATATCTTTTGATGGTTTTCTTCCTTTTTATTACAAAGTGTTTACCTATTCATAATATAGTCTAAATGAAATATTTAAATAATATTTATTATAACCAAGAAGACCAATAACCAAAAAATTCAATATATGTATTAGATTAAGAAATTGTTTATCTTATTTTTGTATAATAAGAGAAAGAAAATTATTATTTAAAAATAAAAGTTTATAAAGCATAAGTAGTTTATAGTGATTTATAATAGTTTTAATCATCATATTTTCATAAATCAAAAGAATATTTACAAATTTATGAGTGATGATTAATCTAATTCTATATTTCTTCTTCTATATTTTAAATATAGTATAATCATGTCTTTCAGTAAATATGAATTTGATTACAATTCTAAAACTCATAAAGATGCTTTTTAATATATTTAAAGTTTTTATATGCAAGTTCTTCATCAATTATAAAAATTTGTTCATTTATATTACTAAAATAATTTATATAATTAAAAGCATTTAATATAATATCTACAACTTTATCAAATGATAATAACATATTTCATTTTATTAAATTATATACATTATTTTAATGCATGTGTTCATATTGTAAGATAATCTAAATTAAAATAAGTATATATTTAAAATATTAGTAAGAAATTAAGAATTTTTGTTAAATTTATTATCTATTAATAAATATCAAATAAATTTTATTGAATTTTTATTATATATAAATTCATAATAAATTTTTTTTATAATTGTTATAAAATTAACCATATATTTTACATAATATATTTAAAAAAAATATTTAGGCAAATATAAATTCATAATTTTCTAGACTGTAAGGAATTATTTGTATTATTAAGATCAATTAATAAATAAACAGATAGTATTAATTTATATTTAGAATCTATTAAAAGTTATGATTAAGAATTAATATAAACTTATTTAATATTTATATTATTTAATTTATTTTATCAATAGTAACAATACTTAATGAAACCTAATAATAATTTTAAAAATATTAATAATAAAAATTTTTTATTATATTATATAAAATATTTCTAAATTTATAATTAAAATTATTTATAAAAATAAAAGATTTAATTTTACAAAAATTTTACAAAAATCAGAATAAATGTAATATATAATTTAAATAATTAAAATAATCTAATTGATGATTATTATGTTTAATGATTAAATTATTGATTTTTAAAGTCAAATTAGTAAAATACTATTCTTTAAACTAAATAGCAGCAGAATATAATAATTTAATTGATAAAGCCACTGAGATTTATGCGGGAATGCAAAATCTTGAAGGAGAGTGATGTTATACAGAAGAAGACATAGATGATGATAATCTAAAAGATGATGTTGATCTCTAGGAAATCATATATATCTTCTATGTCATCTATGTTATCTATAATATATATTTCTTTTATACAATATATTTCTTTTATTTATTTTATTTTATTTATCTCATATATTTATTATATTTTATTTATCTTATATATTTCATATATTTTATTTATTTTTTTTATATCTTTGATAACTTTATATTTTTCATTTTATATAAATAGAGGACAATTTCTTTTAGCTTAACGGTGTGTCTAACTCATAGTTTTATTAAATAGTTTAGTTTAATTTCTCTAATTAATTATATAGTATAAAACGCTGACTAAGGTAGTACTCTATTGTTATAGTTATTAAATAAACTGTTAATTTACCAATACTCTTCTAAATCTAATTACTAAATTAAACCTTCTAATTACCACTCCTAAATATTGCTTCGCTTATCACTTATAAGCATTTTAAAGAACTAACTGTAATAATATTTTAAAGACAAATATATGATAAATTATTATGAAAAAAAGTTAAATTTTTAAACTTATATATCTTAGTATCTATTGATCTTAGAAATATGAAAATATAATTATTTAATAGATTTTAATGAGATAAATTCAACAAAATAAATTTTATTTTCTTGTAATTATTTTTTTTAAAAACGCGTAATGCCCACATTTATTATAAAAATTCAAATCTAATAGATTAATATATAGAAATTCTGAAAACTAGGTATATATAGTAGAAAAAATAAACTGAACTGCCTAAAACATCCTTGCAAGTTAAAAACTTACTAGTCTTAAACCAACTGGTCATCCTGTCATATTTCAGAGATAATCATTAATAGAGTCTCTATCAATACACAACAACTAAATTATTATTACGTTCCTCTCTTTTACCTAATGATAATTCCTATTGTAAATTTAAATTTAATACAAAAACAAGTAGCTTAAACTATTATTAAACCAAAAAAGAAGCTAATAAAATAATTTTAACTCCAACATTATCTCTCTCATGTCTATCATAATATATTCCTTGTTTTTGTTACTAATAATAATATTCAAGCACATTTAACTACCACCTTGCGGTATTTATACTAATCACATTTTTATTGATATTTACAGAGGGTGGACAAAAGTTTTCAGACACTTTTTCACCAAATAAAAAACTTATAATTCTTTAGCATTGATAGTAAAAATTCTAATATTATTTTATTAGAGCTGGTTAAGGCATACATTTCATATTAAACTTTAGTACTTGGTTGGACCTTTCTTTGCTGCAATCACAGCCTGAATTCGCTGTGGTATGCTATCGACTAAATTTTTAATAGTATGCATTGGAATTTCTCACCATGCCTTTTTAATATAGCAGTTGAGGTCAGCAAGATTTGATGGTGGTTTTTATATGCATGAATGTTTTTATTTAATATCAGCCCATAAATTTTCAATTGGGTTAAGATCAGGACATTGGGCTGTCAAGTAAAATATGACTCTGTATTGTTTTTTATTTTATCCCATTATTTTTCGATTTGGTAGAGATTAAGTGAATTAAGTCAAAATAACAAAAACAACACAAATTTTTTTATTTTGATTATGTAAATAAACAATAAACAGTCATATAACTATAGTATAGTATTACAATTATATGATGAAAATTTGTAAAATCGCATTTATAAAGGTGTTTAGAAACTTTTGTCCACCCTCTGTACTTTTAGTAATAATATGTCTTGAACAAATTCTTTAAATTAATGCGAAGTTGTGTGGCTTCCATTTTTTTGAATCCACTTATGGTATATATCAGCAATATCTTCATCATCAATAATTCTACTAACTTTCTGATGTTTTCTCTGATAAGATAGAGGTAGAGCATTATTAATACACTAATATTTTGCCATCTGCTAAATCCAAGTAGCTGTTGATTTACTATTACTATTGTATATTATATTTACTACATTTATACTTGCTTTTATCTTTTTCTCTCCTTTTAATAAGTGTATAAGATATTCAAATATAGCCCTTTTCTTAATATATTCTTTTGTCAACATTCTGTTAAAATTTTCTTTTAAATCTCTCTTTAAATTTGAAACTATATCTTCTAATGGTCAGACAAACACAGAAACTTCTTCTTCATCTGATAAAATATCTTGAAAACTTTCTTGCATTAATCTATCTTACCGGCTAAAAAATCTCTCAAACTTTCAGGTTCCCTTGTTACTTCTGTCCATTAGCCATTAGGTCCCTATTTATTATAATAAGTTGACTTTGATATTTTATCTATTTTATAAGGACTGCATTTTTCTTTTTCTAATTTAGTATCCAGTCTTCACTTCAATCCAAAATCCACCTTCATAAGTCTATTCTGTATATCTTATTTTGCTTTTAAATCAATATCACTTTTTCAATCACTTACCTCATTATTTTCTAATCCGTTTTGCTAAAAGTATTATTCAAATCCATCTCTAATTGTTTTCCTAATATGTTCACTTTTGCATCATTCTCAGCTTTAAAAAACAAACATTAATTTAAATAAATGTATTCTTTCTTATAAATACATTAAATAATTTAATAAACCTACTTAGTTTTTGTGTTAAATTTCTCTTTTTATTGTGATTTTTGTTTTTCATTGCAGCTTTTCTCTTTGTAAGTCAGGGTATGCTTGAAGAAGAAAATTTTTTTAAAAAAAAAATTTACTGATCAATTTGCATTATATTTTATTACACATATTTCATTGGGTAATTTTCATATGATCGAATTTTATTGGGTAAAGTTAATGTCATATGATAAGATCAATGTCTAAAATTTGAACACTTTATAAGAAAATCGTAATTTTCAATTGCCTAAAACTCAAAACTTTCTAATCAATTAAATATTTGAAACTATAACTTTTATTTTTTATTGTTCGCTCTTTAATTATTGTGGATAATTTTTTCTTTATAGCATATAGAACAAAAGTTTTAGGATTTTAAAGTCAAAAAATTTTATTTTTATTTATAAATGACCTGTATTATATAATTTATACTATCTTTGTAAATAAAATTAATATTGTATAACAAATAATAAACTCTTACTTGTATTTTCATATAAAATCTGAAGAGATATGTATTCCTGAACTAACAGCTTCAAATACATTTATAAATCATGATGATTTTATAACACAAGTTCAAAATTTTGTAAATTTTTATAATTTTTAAATACGAAAAGATAAAGTAAAACATGATAAAAATAATAATATTAAAAAAAGAACTATATTATGTTCATGCACAGGTATTGCTGAATAAAAAAAAGAAAAAAATCATCAAAGAGATCATCATTCTCAAAGATGTAATTATCCTTTTATGATTAAAGCATCATTTAATTTACAAACTGATCTTTGGCATATTTTGGCTATAAATTTGAAACAAAATTATGAAATAATGATTCTTGAGCATAAAAAATTTTTTAAATAATCAAAGAATAATTTCACAAAAAATTAAAGATCAAATTAAAAATTTATCATCAAACAGGTTATAATGTATCAACTATCAAATCTATTCTTAAACAAGAATATCAAGAATTAGAAATATAGATTTATAATGATATTTATAATTATATATATCAATTAGATAATAAATTATATAGTCATTTTTTTGAAGCATATGAATTTATTAATACTTTAAAGTAATTCAAAAGAGAAATTAATGGATTTGAATATGAAATCAAAGTTGATGAAAGTTCAAATGAATTACTTCAAGTAATTTGGATGTATCTAGAACAGAAATGACAATATTGTAGATTTTTAGATGTAATTGTTTTTAATAATATATACAAAGTTAATTGATTTAATATGCCATTTGGAATTTTTATAGGAGTAAACAATTTTGGTCAAAGTATATATTTTGCTGAAACTTTAATGTGTCAAGAAACAATTAATAGTTTTATATAAACATTTAAATCATTTCTTAAAATAGTTAATAATAATCCACTAAAAGTAATACTTACAGATGAAAATAAGCAATTTTTCAAGCTATATAAAATGTTTTTGGTCAAAATAGTAAACATGTATTATATATATGGCATCTTTGGAAAAATGTAATCAAAAATTTATATAGTATATTAGAAGCAAATTGGCATAATTTTACAAAAGCATTTTATGAATGTACAAAAGAATATAAAGTTGATAATTTTATAATCAAATGGCAATAACTTTAAATAAACTTTTCAGATTGTAAAGCACATTTAGAAAAGATGGATAAAGTAAAAGAAAAATGAGCACCTTGTTTTAATAAAAATATATTTTTAGTAGATATGACAAGTAGATAGTATGGAGAATCAATAAATAGTCTTATGAAAAATTATATGAATGTAACCAATTCACTTTTAGATTTTTTAAAGCTTTTGAATCTACACTAGAATAATGTGATATTGATTTACAATTATTTAAATATCGGCAAAATCAATTTAATGTTATTTTAAAAATAATGAGTCTATTTGAATATTAAGCAGCAGAAATATTAACAAGTTATATATTAAAGTTAACATAGGAGCAATTATTACAAGCATTTAATTATTCTTATATAGAATTATTTGATTTAAAGTATTTAATTATAATGTATTTTTATTTTATAAAATTTATTTAATTTAATTTAATTTATTTTTAATTATTTAGAACTCAAAATATTCAATTATTTCATGTTCATCGATTTAATCATAATTACAAATTTAGAAGAAAAATACAATATGATCAATAATAACAATTGTTTTTGTGTTTATGCAAATATATAACTTTTTCTAGAATTATATATCGGCATATATTTTGTGTAGTAATATAAATGAATTTAAATAAATTGTCAAATTCACTATTTTATTAATGCTAGCAAAAAGATCCAAATAATCTTTTTTAACATAACAATTTAATTTGTTTTATGGTAATGATATAATAAAACATTTGGATTTCTCAGAAATAAAAATTTTTGAAGACTATGAATATTTGTTAATAAAAACTTTTTATGAAATAAAAAGTTTGATAAAAAAGTATCCAGAATTATCTAAAGAATTTTATTTTATAAATAATACTTTGTTGGAAAATAAATTAAAAATTATTCATCAAACTTGTCAAACAAAAGATAATACTTTACAAAGTATAATCAATAATCCTAAAAATAATAATAATTTAAAAAAAAAGGTATTTATAATTGATATTTTTTAGTTTATTGATATTATAATATTATATTATTTTATTAATTTTAAAAAATTTTAATTAAGGAAAAAAAATTCAACAAAAAATTTATCAAATAAAAAGCAAAAAAATTCAATTGCTAGTAGTAGTGGTAGTGGTTTATCAGTACAAGAAAAAGAAAATATTACAAATTATCAAAAGGATGATTATACATTTAATATACTGAGTCCAACATATGAAGTATTTCAAAATTTATCACAGATATCTGTAACTGAATTAATGAATATGAAAATAGATGATATAAATGCTAAAAATAAAAAAAAAGGCATGTTTATTTTATAAAACTTATGAATTTTAAATATAATGATATTATAATTCTTTTTTTAATACTTTTAGATGAATTATCATGTCTTTTTTGTAATCAACCTTTACCTAATCCTTTACTAAAAAAAATTACTTGAATATTTAAAAATATTGTAAAAAAAAAATAAATTTTATATTTAATTTATTTCTATAATAATAATATTGATTATATTAAAATATTTTGATTTTTTAGAAAAAATATTAGAAGTCGATTGTGTAGAATTTTGTTTTATGCATTATGCAGAAACAAAAATTATTCCATTAGGTATAGAAGCAGGTTATCCAACAAATATCAATTTTAAAATTTTATCAAATTGGATTAGTAATATTTAAGATGATTTATTAGATATTATTAATTATAAATTAGTAAGTTAGTTTTGCAACTTTTTATTATTTGTTTATAATGAAATTGGATTTCAAAAAGCAAATATACCAATGATGATAATGATAATGAATAGAAGTGAAGAATTAAGAGTAAGATTTAATTTATAAATATATTTTTTTATAATATATTTTAATACATTTGTTTATTAAATTTATATTTATTTTTTATTTTTACAGCTAGGATATTATAGTTCTAAAGGTAAAATAATCATCACAAAAGTTTTGATAAATTTGTTTTTAAAAACAAATATTTTAACATTTGAAATTAGCAAACCTTTAAAACCAATTGATTATTTATATGAAATATTAGTTCCAGAGGTAATTATTAGACTAATAATTCAAGATTTTAATGGAAATTTATTATTAGAAGAAGCAAGAAAAATTATGAAAAACAGTGCAGATTTTGACACATATATATATAACGATTAAATAATTATTATATTGTAATAAAAAAAATTCTAATTTTTGAATTTTTATATGAAGTTTAAGTTTGCGAATATTTTATGTTCTCATTGCAGCAGTTGCATAAATACAATATTAATTTATTTACAAAGATAGTATAAATTATATAATAATACATAATCAATTTTCATTCAATAAAATTTGTTAAAACTTATTGTACATCCCAGTATAGGTCAAACATTTACACCTCTAGTGTAGGTTAAGAATGCTCCATTTAACAGTTGTAAAGAAATTGAGTAAGTCATATGGATGATTAAAATTTTAGAAATTTCTATGGTGGCTGTCACCTATAAACTGCACTAGTCTGAAATTTTAGTTGTCAATCTTCACATGATATTCACGTGATTTAGCATTTATTCACGTGATATTGCATTTTTTTTACATTGCGAAGTCATTAGTATTTTATTATTTTATTTTATTTAATTCTGCTAATACATATTCAGAAATACAACGGTGATTTATACTTATTGGTAGCATATTCTGCTAATTTATCAGTTATTTCTTTCTTATATAAATTCATATAACGTCACGTCTTCCTAGAAATTTTCTTATTGTAATTATACTAACGGACTCTAAGGCTGCAGGAACAACATGTTATAAACTTAACCAAGAATAATCGCAGTTCTCTCAAGTATATCTTTTCGCCACCTTTTAGTATTGTTCACTATAGTTTAATTCACAGTAAAACTTCAGGTAAAATATATATTTATGCTCAACCTTTAGTATTTTTCTTCTAATGCGTTTTTTTGAAATAGAAAATCTGGCTGTAATAAAATAACTTTTTGTGCGCAATAATCTGTTTGATTTACATCTACAATCTTATCTTTACACAGCTTACAATCAGCATTTAACCTATCTTTCTATAATCCATGCTCAATTAACATCTGTTTCATCCCTTTCAATTCGTTATTCTCATTAACCATTGATTGATGTTGATTGTCTGGTCTAAAAACTGTGTCTCTCATCTTTGATTACTTGCTTCTGGATTTTAGATTCATCCTACTCACCATAAGTGCATTAGATTTATATATCACATAGTTTAAACTATTATTGAATGCAAATAAGGTAATACAATTTAGAAAAATTGCTTCAAAAATTGGTATGATCTTTGTTTTTACTTGTTTGATTAGATACTCACTTGTTCAAAAACCTTTTCAATCTTTTCCTAGTTAAAGATAAACCCAAGCTTCTTCAGGTATAGAAGAGTTTTGTTGATGTTATTGTGAGTTTAATCGCATTCTTTCATCAAGAATTCATTAACCATAATAGAACGACTATTTTCTTTCTTATATAATGGTAATTCTCTGAATTTTGCCTATATGTCCTGTTTTCTATTGTTTAAATAAAATATACACTCATCATGTGTTATAAGAATTATTTCTTTTTTATTAGGTCCTAATGTCAGTGGTATCCGTTCTATACTTTCACTTTCATACTTTGCCATATTCTTTTCATAGCTATAGATTTTATCCAGAAAAGTTTGCCGATATTTTATAACATCAGCATGCTTGTGACCATTATAGTATATGCCTTATATAATACAGATAATGTTAGTAATTTAGTCTAGTATTTTTAACTATCTATAATATACTTAACTTACCTTGTTTTTGTGATTGGAAAAAATACCCAAGTACATTGAGCCAAAGTGTCATGATTTCTATATTAATAGTTTTTTTTCTCATTATTTCTGAATCAACAAGTAATTTTTGTTCAAAAATGTTTGAATTTTAGTGGAGTTGTATTTTTACCTTGTGATCGAATTCAAGTATGGCATTCTTTCGCTATATTTTCATCATCTATTAGCCGCATTGTCTTTTGATGCTTACCTTGATGACTTATTGGAAGATGATTATATCGAAGCCAATAATTGGCCCAATAACGAATAGTTCATGCTCTATATGGAGCACTATCAATGAAAACCAATTGCGCAACTTCTATACTAGCCTTGTCTTACCCTTCCATTATCATCTAATCTTTTCAAATACTCAAAGATTGCTCATTTTTTATTAAATTCAGATACACTTAATGATTTTTGTTTCTCTTTAAGTTCGATTTTTAAACTTTCAATCCTTTCTTTAGATTAAGCTAATCATTGTGTTCATCTTCCACATTATCCAAAATTTCATCGAAATCATCTGAATTTGATTGTTTATTTATAAGCGTTAAAATATCCAAAGTTCCTTTTGTGGCTCTTGTGAAAGAACTATTTGGTCCATATTTATTGAAATAAGTTGATTTTTTGGTTGTTCCGGTAAGATAAGGTCCACGTTTCTTTTATTTCAGATGTGTATTATTTGACTAAACTAACTTACTTTTATTTTTATTTTCGTTTGGTAAATCAATTACATCCCAACCACTGTCATTTTCATCTTCCCAATCATCCTCATCATCAACTTGTGATTTCTTTCAAATCTTCCATTACTATTTCATTCTTTCTCATTAACAATAGTTTTTCTCATTGATAAGCGTGTCATTTTTATTATAAATGGTCAAAGCGTGAGAAAATTAGAGTGGAATAACGAATTTCATGTGAAAATTTCGCATACATAGCACTGATCCGGTTAAATCCCGATTCCCCGAAAGCTAAATGGACAATTTCCCAAAAATCTTGGGCAGAATTATCATAATGCAGGCCAAAATTTTCGGGATAACGTCCAACATTATGCTGATCATTAGTCCGAAATTTTCCATTTTGCTAAAAATTCTTGAACTTTAATTTATAATAACTCCAAAAATTATAAAAAAGTAAACCGATAAAAATGTTAAGCATACATTGTTCTATAATTGTTTTATTTTTAATTTATAAATTTTTAAAGTCATGTGATTTTTGTGAGGTTTATAGGTGACAGCCACCATAATCGCTTGATAAATTAGGAAAAAGCGCTTAGAAATCGGTAATTTTCACGGGCCGTTAATTTGTTCAAATATCACATTATCATAAGAAAGTAAGGATAAAAAGCCAGTAAAAAAAAAAAATAATAATAATCTCTAAAAAACAGGCAAATTTATTAGTACGTTACGCGTGCATTACTATCATTTTTTATAACAAGATAAATTTTTTTCTTTTTTGTTTAATCAAATTAAAAATAATAAATAAAACATTATAAATGAGGAGGAAAAAATATTTCAATCTATGTTATTTGAATAACTCTGATGTATGTATGCATAAGATGATGAGTAAATCTAAAAAAAATTGTTCATTAAAAATTTAATCCTTTCGATTCTAATTTTTTTTATCTCTTTGAGCAATATCCTTGGGCTTATTATTTGCAAATAAATATTCGCAAACTAATTCAATCAACCACGCAACGCAATAATCAATTATCATAGTATTCACAAGTTTAAATTTAAACTATAAAAAGAAAAATATATAATAAATTAGCAATTATTATTTACAAAACAAAAAAAAAAAAAGAAAATATTATAATAAATACTTCATTCGAAAGAGGAACCAGTTGTAAAAGACTATTTATTTCGGGAACTATTTCCAAGGCTCCAGCAAAAGCAATTCCTGCAACTGAAACTAAACCATAAAAAAGTGCTTTGTTCTCTCTCAGACTCTCTCTGAAAGGATGTCCCTATTTGATTTATTATAATAAGTATAATATTTAATTAGTGTATTTTCTAAATTAATTATATCTTACAAAAATAAATTAATTATACCTGAAAATTGATGGCAAATGTTGAAACTTGCATAGACAACGATATCAAATATACTGCCGTGTTTAATAAACTTGGTTCGAATTCGCCTTCTAAATCAACAGGTTTCTTTCTAATGAATTAAAGAAATAATATAAGTTAAAGAGAATAAAATTTATTAAGAATCAAGGATTAACTATATTATTAGATGTTTATACATACTCCTCGTGTTTAAATACTAAATCGACTATATAAATTAATGAAGCAATATGAATTGCAAATTGGCCCAATATGGAAAAGATTATATAGAAATTAAAGATATTGGTTTGTGGTCGTCGTTTGCTAAGTTTCTCCAAGGGCTAAAAATAAAGTAAGATAGATAATTTTAGTAAAAGACATTATAAACTCGTAATCATATAATAAGTATAAACTCACCTTAGCCTTAGAAATACAAAGAAAACAAACGGCAAGTAACATTCCAGAAATGGTTGCTTGACTGATGATATCAAAAATTATTAGATATTACAAATGATTATAAAAAAAATTAATGAATGAATAAAATGAATAAATAACTTACGCATCACCATATTTAATTCCATCTAAATATAATACACTAAGACTATAGGCCGAAATTAAGCAATTCAGGGCCAAAATTTTGTACATCTGTATAGTTGCGACAAGTGTACATCGACCTTGACGTATAATATTTGCGACTGAAAAATGAAAAAAAAAGTTGGTTGATATTTATTATTGACCGTTTAAATATATGCAAACTTGATCCTTACTGGCAGAAACGTTTGAAAGTTTCGAAGTAAAATGAGAAGCAACAGATGCATCTCCAAATTTAATGCTTGGAGGTTCATCATCAAAGTCTTGTAGTAATTGTTCGGCAATTTGATCAACCCGTGGTGCATGTCTCGCTGGATTTTGTTGTTGTTGTTGTTGCTGAGTAATATGTGGAAATAAGTGAGCAATGGCTGGTGGTGGCGGTGGCGGTGGCATATTGAATCGTGCAGTGAATTTCAGTTGATTCTCATACATATCCTTTAGTGTTATCATACGTCGACGTTCGGCGATTTTTTTAAGATCTTCTGGCGTGCCGTTAAGCAAGGCAACACCTACATGAGCCTGTTTTAAAGCACCCACATCATTTGTACCATCACCGACCATCAATGTTGTGTACCCAGCTTTTTTAAGTTCAGTTAATATAAATTCCTAAATAATGTAATTATTAGAATAATTAATAAGTAAGTATTGTAATGGGAATATAATTAATAAATTATTATAAAAAAAATAAAGAAACCTTCTGCCCAGGTGACACGCGAGCATATACCCATGTATTTCTCAACAACTCTCTAACGGATGGTTTGTTTTCATACTGGGACAATGCAGCACCTGTTACGCAAATATCATAATCGCGGAATACAGATCGTTCAATTGGTTCGATGGGATTTACAGGTATCATGATTTTCTCATCAACCGACTTCCAAACAAGTTCTATTTGGTATATTATTTAATACAATGCAAAATAAAAAAAAAAAAATTTGAAAAGAATAATAATTATATACCATCCGGACTTTTTGCGTCTTCTTGAATATCCAATATCAAAACGTCTCTTTCGATAATTTTCACCTCACGAGCCACATGACAAGCAGTTAAAGGATTGTCACCGGTAATCATTATAACCTAAAATTCGAAAAACAATAAATAAACACATCATATAGTAATAAATTGATGTACTATATAATCAAGCATACTCGATGTGATGATTCGTTTAGCATTTGAAGAGTGGAAACAGCATCGTCCTTCAGTGGACAATGAAAAACGAGGAATCCTGCGAAATTAAGTTCGCTTTCGACATCTTCACGTAGAAGACCATTAATCTAAGTCAATTTACAAATATAAAGGTATGAGATAGATTAACATTTTAACACCACATTCATGCAATATTTATCAATACCTTGTCAATAGTCATGTTATCCTCCAAATACTTATAGCCAAGAGCCAACACACGACTCCCACGTCGAGTGAAAAACTTGAAGGTTTCCTCATAATCATCAGGTACATAAAGGTACATCTGACGAAGAGTTTCGGGAGCACCTTTAACAGCAATAAATGTTTTTTTCCCTCGAGGCGTAGTCACTGTAGATACACTGGACATACGTTTGAGAGCAGAAGAAAATAGGAATCGACGATGTATTTGCAATTGCGATCTCGATTGAAATCTTTGGGATTGTGGAATTACAGTGTCACCTGTTTAGAAAAATTAAATAAATAAATAAATACATAAATATTTGATAAAAATGAAATACACGTGATAAACGAAATATACGTTTATTTTTATCAAGCTTCCATTCCAACGCTTCTAATGTTACTTTCTCCATTGGATCACCAACAACAATATCATCATCATCATCTAATCGAGCTAAAGCGTGCGCTGCTGCAAGTGTCTGAATTGTGTCCCGAAGAGCATCTGGAGGTTTCACCAGTTTCTTAGAATCCTCGGGGCTAAAAGTTAAATAACAACGTTAGTCTGATATTTCAAAATTAACTGAACATAATAAAAGGTTTTTTGCACGAAAGATCTACATACTGGATACCAGCAACGCCTTCGACCACAAGATTAGCTCTTGTTAAGGTACCAGTTTTGTCGAACGCGCACACATCAACTTTTCCAGCATAAGGAATTCTAAATGGTTCAGTGCAATAAATAGCTAAATATATCATATATTCAGTTAGTTCGTCTGATTAGATTTTGTTCAAAAAATTATCAACATGAGTTATCGTATACTACCAAACTTAGATAATGCAACCAGAGAGGTGTTAACGGCTAAGGAAAGTTCCATGGGCAATTCTGGTGGAACGACTGATGTTATAATTAAAATACAATCAAGTAATAACTTTGATCTCTTGCGATCATTTTCGACACCTAAAAAAAGAGACTAGGTTATAAATCATCTATAAATAATAAAATTCATCGCGCATAAAACTAACCCTTAACCCAAACATATCCAGCTGCGGAAATAGCGAAGATCAACAAAAATATAATAAAGAAGAAGGATTCAAGATTGTTTGCAGATACATGTCCCGTGCTGTAAACCATTGTACGCACGAGTTTACCCTGCACAGTTCCGAATCCAGTACGGATAACATAAGCAATACATCCATTATCCGGAGGAGCTGTAAAGACAAATTGATAGTTTTAAATTATAATTGGAAATAATAACTCCCTAACAATATCAAATCAGTTAAAAACTAACATAACGTCGTCTCTTCTTTAGAAGGAGGGGTAATTTGAAGAACTTTTGTACCACCAAATAATTGACTATATTTGTTTACAATGCCGCTAGTGTCAATCACATCGTTGCCGTCACGAAGATGTATTGATTCCTTAAAGATCGATATTTTATTAAATTAATATAGACATTCATAATCATTGCATATTGATAGAATTTAAATATTAATATCATACCTTCAATGATGGTGTTGATTCTCCAGTTAACATGGCCTCATCAACTATACAAGTACCATTCACAAGAACCATATCACAAGGAACACCATTATCTTCCTTAGAACGTACTATATGTTAAATTAAATAAGTATGCCGTCGAATAAAATTATGAAAGCATAAGGTGTCTAATTAAAAGGACCAACCTATAGAAACCAGATCACCAGGCAGTAACTCGTCCGAATTAACGGTCACCCAACGACCTTTTCTCCTTACATGAATTTGAAAAGGTTTGAATGACATTGATCGAAATTCGGCTAGTGTCTTCAATCTCTAAAAAAGATTCAAAAATATTATCTCGTCAAACATACCGATAAAAATCAATATACAAAATTGATTTCCTAAATAAATATCTATATCTATATCTATATATACCTGAAAGACGACAGTTGATTCAAACACTACAAGCATGAATAGCGTAAATAATGAGTAATACCAATATTCATCCATAATCCAGAGACCAACACAAAATAATTGGAAAACAAAGAAAGGAGCAACCGCGTGTTCCTTGAACAATTCTCGAAATGTTGGTACCGGAATATCGAATCTAATAAATAAACATTATTAGTTGCGAAATAAATTATTTAAGTTACATTATTATATGATATAGAAGATATTTAAACCTGTTAAACCCATATGTTTCTTGAACTGATTTAATTTCATTTACAGTCTCGAGACCTTTAGCATTCTGAAAAATTGAAACAACAGGATTCTGATCGGCGGGATAACGTAATTTGTTAAACATCTTTTTATCAAAATCCCACACGTATTTTTTCTTTTGGTAAAAAAATGAAATTTCTCCGTCCTTAAATTAAATCAAAAGATATGTTAAGAAGTTGGAAAATAAATCGTCTTATTAAAAAAATTAAATTACGATGAATCATACCCTGTGATGTAGGTCACATAATTCACCTTTCCCTTTATGCAGTGCAGGAATAATTTTGATAACTTGGGCAAACTTGATATCACTTTGCTGTAAAAACATAAAAATGAATTCGAATGAAATATCGGTTATAAAAATAAATAACAATTATTTTATTCATTACGTGTAAGGCACTTACCTTTTTACATGTAAAGAAAGCTTTTGCCCGAGTACTCCACTGGCAACTCAGAAATATTAACGCATTCATTGTTATCAAACTCGTAAGTGTCAAAAATGTCCATTCTTCCGATTTGAAATACTCTTCATAAGCATTAAGATATATAGATAGCCATATAACGTATAGAAAGAAAAAAAACCATACGTATCCATGCCAAAACAATGGTTTTCGTGTGTGCAATGAAGATTGCACTATTGATTTTGCATTTACAATGTTCTTGATAGCCCTAAAATAATATCCTTTGTTAGAACGTGTATATATATATACATAACTGAGGAAAGTTAAAGTAAATAAATTAATCCTACATTTTCTATTAATTTTTACGAAACGTTCAAACTTCAATAAATACCAATAATACTATAAAACAAAGAAATAAGTTTATTCTCAGTTATAAAAGAACATGATCTTTTTTTTCAAAAAGTTATAGATCTAAAAATTTTGGGGGTATTTTTTTTTGTTTTTTGGAAATTAATAAACCTAAGGATTATAATATGAAGTCGAATTAATTAATGACAAAATTGTGGAATTTTCCTATTGGCTCGATTATAAATTGGGATACAAAAATGATCATCAAATGCGATTTAAACAGACATTTAGTCAACGAGGCAATGAATATATTGTACTTTAATGACGGATAAATATTTTATTGTATTACATTTTCATAATCAATACCAGATCAAACAAATGGGTTTTCCGCAAGATATCATGACACCTCAATAGTTTTTCTTAAGATCGTCATTTAACAAACTAGAATCTAAGATATCTGTATTGGTGAATTGCCGATAAAGTCCCACGGCAGTATCATACAATAATTTGTCTTTTTCGGGATCAAAAGTTGTTGCAATTGATGGATCCTCCCTGCCATGTTAACCATTCGATTAACGTACTATAAAAATTATAAAAATTGACAAAATAATCACAATATTTATACTAACTTGATATAAACATTATCGTCGAATTGTGAAATCGTAACTTGAGCCGAACGTTTCAACCCATCAAAGCTCGAACCAATTAGATGTCCAGATCGAAACGATGGAACTTCAGCAGAGTATGGTTCGTACCCATAAAATGAAGTTTGTCCTGGTAACTTTGATGGGCGAGGCGTTGGCTTTGAATCAATCGGAGGGGTTGAATCCAACTTCAATGGTTGTGTTTTAGCTTTTCTTACAGGAGTTGTTTGTGCCAAGATTGACATTTGTTTGGTGGAAGAACTAGGAGACCGAATAACATTACTTGAAGTTTCACGATAGGACTGATTTTTTTAGATAAATGGTTAAAAATTAAGATCACGAGAGCTAAACATAGTTTTGACTTGATCAATGAAAAAGTGATAAAATACAGTTAATATGTCCTCAGTAGGAGCCATTTTCTTCCTTCCAACTAGGCCAGTCTTGTTGTACTTTTCTTCCTCTCTAACCTTGTCAGCCACTTTCGAAGAAGTTACAAGTTTAATACGAAGTTTAAAAATACAACTAATATCTTTCCTTGTTTATTACAAAACCTTCAGTTTTGAATGACAACGGGTATGGAGCTGGAACAGATCCTATTCCACTTAAGGACCATGCTGATGTTGGTGGAGTGGATACGGAATTGCCGTGTTTATATCTAGCGTAAAGTGAATCTTGAGACATTTAATAATATTTTTTTTTTTAATCGTTGTACTAAACAAATGATCTATATACAGTGTACGAGTATATCACCTAATGAAAGAGAAGAGTTTGCGAGATTATTTATTAAGATTTTTCTTCAATGCAGGTTATACATGAAATCACGTGATAATACAACATGTGCGACATTCATAGCGTAATTTCACGTCATACGTCATTTAATCTTTCTTTTCGCTTTGAGGGGACTTGATGCTTGGAAGCTCAAACTCCAAAAGTATACTTTCCAATCTTCCCGAGTGCACACCGCTACTATATTTAGTTGGACGAAGTAATTTCAACCGATCGAATCATTTTTCGTTTTCATTTCTAAATCTTTTTGTGTTAAAAGATGTTTCCGAGCAATCAACTCGCGGAAATAAAAGAGAAAGAGCTCGAATTGTCTTGCCGTTGGATAAATTAAATCTTTAACTTTGTGATCAAAAGAATTCAATGAAGGAAATTGACAGGAAACTAACTCGTGGTCAATACTCATTATAGCAATTATAACATCAATTAATGTCAACAAATACATACGTATACCAATTTATCATTAAAAAATTTTTTTTTTTAAAACTTTTTAATTAAAAAATAAATATCAAATTCGAACATGACAATAATCACATTTTTTTATAGAGTAGTGATCACGTGATAATACATTTATGATGTAATTTAGTCCTCCCATAATTGGATGATAAACTGATTTGAGATTTTCAAAAAAAAAAAAACTCTTTCAAACCGTATAATTAATAATAGGGAATTTAATGGATTCATATGAAAATACTAGTTCGATACCAAATTTAAATGAGGATTTTGCAGAGGTTAATTACGACCAGTTAGAGGGATCTCTGACACCCCCTCCCCTGGACCTTTACGGCGTTCTCAACGTTTCTCAAGAGGTATCCAACATCTCTTCTCAAGTAAAATTATAGTTAAACGTGAGAGATTTACATAAATAGGTTATTTTTCAAATAGGCTACTGAAGAAGAAATCAAAGATGCATATAAAAAATTATGTAGAACTTTTCACCCAGATAAACATGTAAACCCAGAAAATAAGAAAGCCGCAGAAACAAAATTTCAAGTGATTCAAAAAGCTTACGAAGGCAAGTGAAATTCTGAGGTATAATTTACCTTTTAGATTTAAATAGAAATATTAAAGTTTTCAAGCGCATAAATCACGCAAACAACAATATTCTTACATTGTCTTTACTTGTTCAGTCCTTACGGATCCAAATAAGAGAATTGTATATGATATGTTTGGTGAAGAAGGATTAAGTACTTCTTGGGAGGTTGGACCTCGTTTGAAAACTCCACAAGAGGTTGGTATATGCAATAATGTCATTTTTAATCGATTTTATATATAAATGGAGCACATATTATCTAACTAACCGAATAGCTTAGAGAAGAATTCGAAAGACAAGCTAGATTAAAAAAGCAACAAGAAGTCGAAAATTTGGTCAATTCAAAGGTATTATTACTATTATTATAATTTTATCATTAATTAAACAAAATTTACTAAATCTCTATTGCGTTTTTAATAGGGTGATATTCAATTAAGCATTGACGCAACGCAGGCATTTGATCCTTATGATCGTCGACGGAATCGTCTCTCCATGAATAACTTTTTTGAAAATACTGAAATAACACAACTTAATATGAAACACTCCTTTGAAGTACGATCATTTTTATTTAGGTTGAATTATTTTTAAACTAGAGCAAATGAACTTATTTATTGTTGATATATAACAGACTCAATTACGACCACAAACCCAAGTAGTGGTAATTGGCCAAACTCTTCTACGTAATGGAATAGGTGGTGGTAATATTGTCGGGACATTGCGGCATTCATTTTCGCCAAAAATTTGGGCCGAAGTATGTTGGAAGATACCGTGTATTTATTTACTTGTACTTTGTTAATATATATTTCCAACGAGTTGTTGAAATAAGATGGTCGTATTAGGTCGGATCTTCTATAGTTCAACCTAGAATTATGACCGCAAAGGCTTCATATAGTATTGATGAAAACAGGCATGTATATAACACATAAAGTTCTGATGATATAATTGTAATAATTATATATTCTAAAATATATTCATTCCCTTTTGTAAAAAGCTTTATCATTGTTTCGGCTCATACAGGTTCCATTTATTCTCCACCCAATTTGGTTTTTACAGGTGGCCGCGTATTAGGGAAAAACATTACTGGGTATAGAAATATATGTCTATTTATTAGTTTAACCTAATTTTATGACTTAGTACTTTGAATGATTGATTGAACCGTTAGGTATCTTACTTATAAAACTGGGGCATGGTCGTTAGGTCCTTGGAGAGCAAATGAATTGAATTATCGGCGCGAAAGGTCAGCAGTTTCTATAAGTATTAATGGTTCATATGAAAGATCAGGATATAATTTTGAAATACAGGTATGCATGCATCATTAAATATTATTTTTTTAAAAAAAAACATAATTATTAACTTTTTTTTATTTTATTAATATTAGACTGGAATTGCACAATCCTATATTTCATTACATTATAATCACAAACTTTTTGACGATTATCTAGTCAAAACATCAACTACATTATCGACTACTAGTGGGTTGACATCAATTTTATTAGGTGAACGGAAAATTACTGAAAATACAAAAGCTTCATTGGCAGTTGAATGTGGATTTCCTCATGGAATAACTTTTAAATGCAGGTGAATTATGGTATTCATAATTCATAATTCATAATTAATTTGTCATGTTAATTAATAATATATTCTATATATATTTATATTTTTTAGGTTATCTCGATTAGGACAAAGAATCACTATACCGATTCTTGTCTCACCCGAATTTAATTATAAAATAATTTTTTGGGGAACTGTTCTTCCGATTATAACGATAGCTGCTGTTGAGCAAATCATATTAATACCTATGCGGCAAAGGAAAAAGGCCGAGTTCGTATAATCATTATTAATCATTTAGATAAAATTTATGATAGAAATTAATATTAAGATCTTGTTTATTAATCAAGAAAATTGGCAGCTTTACGGGAGCTTCATGCCGAGCATATAGAAAATCGTAAGAGAGAAGCTGCAGAAGCTATTCGTCTCTTACTACCTTCAGTGGAACGCAAGACAGAGGTGGAGAGGGAAAAGGATGGTCTAGTTATTCTAGAAGCTTGGTACGGCAATGTTTCAAGTTTAAATGGAGAAGGGCTTTTAGAGGAAAAAAGTGACGTTATTGATGTTAAAATACCAGTTCAAGCTCTTGTGCATGAATCACAATTAACTATTCCAGGAAGGTATTCGAAGGTAAGTTTAAATTAAAACTTTTCAAAATGTTTTAAAATTATTAGTAAATATTTTATTAAATATTTCGATAGTCCAATATCATGGGGTTTTACGATCCATGTATGGGAGAACGCAAACAATTAAAAATCAGGTACCAATTCCAACGCAAACTTCATGAAGTCACAGTGGATGATACATCTCCTGTTGCGTGCCCTTTAAGATGTAAAGTTTCAATATTTTCTCTCTTTATTATATTATTTATGTTTTTGACGCTTTAAATACTAATTTCATTTTAATCATTTTTCTTTTTTTTTTAATAGCTCACGTTATACCATAATAAAATATTTATAGTGCTATTCTTATACATAATAAGTATTTTTTTTTTTTTTGAATTAAAAGAAATGATTTTTTTTAATAAAGAATAATTCACCAAGTTAGAGCTAAGCATCTGTAATACTTGAGCCAATAAATTATATTTCCTAAAAATATATACATGGGTTCTTTTTGAAACTGTGCAAATGGTCCTAAGATAACAAAAGGCATTTAACATATCTCATTCGAACAAGGAAACAAGTTTGGTCTGCGTAAAGAATTTTTATTTTATTGATCTTTAAATAATTAAGTACTCTTCACATTAAAGCTAGGAATGATTGATTATTGATTATAAACATCCAAGATGTAGATTTATCAACCGATCACAAATTCACAAAAGGAATTTTATAGTAGTACAATAAAGTTTATTCAATAGCTTCTTGCTTTTCGTTTTTGGGATCATAAAGAATTTCAATGTTCTTACCTATAAGAGACTAAATTTATTATCAAACACTCGGATAGCTTTCAATCACGAACCCTGAGAGAACTTAGTTTGCAAACCATACATTGTCAATTAGTTAACTTTTGTTATAGCGCTCAGAAAAGAACGATATCATGTCAACAGAAATAACCGCACCCACACCTTCTACTACCTTACAGCTTGAAGAAGTTGTAGAGGTGAAAAAACAAACAACAAGTGGTGTTAAATCTTTTCTTGCGGGTGGGTTCGGTGGGGTTACATGTGTTCTTGTTGGTAAGCTCTATTTCCTCTATAAATAAAAACTATCTAATAGGTCATATCTACAATACATATCATATAATGAATATTTTTTTTTTTTTTTTTAGGTCAACCATTCGATTTGATCAAGGCAAGTCTGTCTAAATTTGATTTATTTACCAAGAAATGTAATTTTAATGAATTCATAAATTTTAATTATTCGTTGTAGGTTCGTTTGCAAACAGCTCCTGAAGGGGCATATACAGGAATGGCTGATGCAACAAGACAAATCCTTGTTAAGGATGGAATACGTGGGTGGGTTAACTATTTTTTTTAGCTTTTATGTATATTCTCTTTAATCGTGCCCATCGAAATAACTTTTACGTGTTCATAGTTTGTACAGGGGTATGGGGCCTCCATTAGTGGGCATCACACCAATTTTCGCAATAAGTTTTTGGGTAAATTTATAAACTTATATTCTTTTTTTATTGATCTCACATTTACCACACGATTAATCGAACATGTTTTGTAGTCTTACAACCTTGGTAAAAAGATCGTCATGTCGGTGAATCCAAATCGCACTTCTTCAGAGCTTAGCATTGGAGAAATTATGATTGCTGGCGGATTGTCGGCAGGACCAACCACATTGATTATGTCACCAGTTGAGCGAGTTAAAGTTTTATTACAAATTCAAGGTCAAGGAGGCGTGAATAAATACAAAGGACCAATGGATGTAGTGAGACAACTTTATAAGGAAGGAGGGTTGAGCAGTATTTATCGTGGAGTTGGAGCTACATTAGCACGGGATGGTCCAGGATCGGCTGTTTATTACGGAGCATATGAGCTTACCAAAAGACTTTTGACGCCCGCAAATGCTTCCCCTGACTCTTTGAACCCTGCAGCCATTTTATTTGCTGGTGGTAACGTATCTTTTCATTAATAATAATAATATTTTTATTGAACAGGACTTCAACTTTTTTTTTTTTAATCCTTTCCTTAGGTATGGCGGGAGTTGCTATGTGGTCAATTGCGATTCCACCAGACGTTATTAAATCTCGATTACAAACAGCTCCACCTGGTACCTATAAAAATGCTTTTGATTGTTTGCGTAAAACGATTGCGCAGGACGGTACAAAAGCATTGTTCAAAGGTATCGGACCAGCTTTATTTAGAGCTTTTCCGGCTAATGCGGCGACGTTTTTGGGTTATGAAGCTAGTTTAAAGATCATGAATATGCTCTGGTAGAATTAATTAATACAGTATATTATAATAATAATAAAATTACCTTTTAATATTTAAAAAAAATATACATAAATTAAAGAATTATGTCATAAAATCGTCATCAGGGTTCAGGGATTACGTTGACAATTGGTTGTAGTACAATAATGATTGTTTGTCCTCCCAAAAAAATTATATATCATGATAAAAAAATAATTTTACTCGTTTGAACTCTCTTTTTTCAATTCCTTTTTTAATTTATTAATTTTCTTTACTTAAATTATTTATCATGGTAAAGTGCACATTTTTTTTTTTGATATAAATTTATAATTTCGACTTTTTTTTTTTTCAAGGTTCCGCAGATCTAATTCCTTTCTATATATATATATATAGTATGCAGGTGGTTTTGACGAGATTGGGTTAGGATATGGTGTTCCAATGCATCAGCATTTAAATAATAGCTTCTCCGAGATGTATCGATGCTATTCAGTAACTTTGATGCAAGGAAATGAAAGGCAGAATGTTAATTTTGGTGGCAAAAGTAAGAAATAACGTGTAAAGTAGTACGTGAAAACTCATTATGAGAATTAAATTTGATCAAATTCATACTTTTTTTTCCATTAGTTATCTTACCACCTTCCGCACTGGCAAAACTAGGTGAGATTTTCGAATCATTCATCGCACTTGGAATATATTTATTAATCGTGTTCTATTTATTCTCTTTCGATAAATAGCTAGTTTGGAAATAGAATATCCGATGTTGTTTGAATTACGTAATCAAAATGGACAACAACATTCGCACGCCGGAGTTCTTGAATTCATTGCCGAAGAAGGTCGTGTTTATTTACCTTATTGGGTAAGAAAGTTTACCTTTATTTCTTTGAATGCTCGTTTTATCAAATGTATTTAATACGATAAAGCACTTCATTATAGATGATGCAGACTTTGCTGTTGGATCAAGGTGACATTATTGAAATAAAAAGCGCAGAATTGCCTTTAGGTACCTTTGTAAAGATTCAACCACAAACTGTTGATTTCTTGGATATAAGTGATCCGAAAGCTGTGTAAATATTTACTTTTTTTTTTTTTTAAAAAAAAAAAAATATCCTTATTAATAGCATTTGTATTTTCACTTACTTGATATAGGCTGGAAAATGCTTTTCGAAATTTCTCAACCTTGACACAAGGGGATCTTATCCAAATAAATTATAATAATAAAATTTATGAGATTTTGGTATTAGAAGTTAGACCCGGTAATAATGAACCTGGTAATAACGGTATTTCAATTGTTGAAACAGATTTGGAGGTCAGTATTTCGTTTTAATCGTTTTGAGTTTCGATAGATCTCTTACGTTTCTTTTAAAAAAATAAACGTTTAGGTTGACTTTGCGCCACCTGTGGGTTACGTAGAACCAAAACCACAACCAAAACCATCAATGGTTAGTTTACAAATTAAATTATTAAAGAAATTTTTGCCGAAATAAAAAAACACAATTGATTATTTTTTTCAAATTATAGGCAAATAAGATAAAAATAGAAGATCCTCCTACAGATACAAAGGGATTTTCAGCTTTTCAGGGAAGTGGACAACGGTTAAATGGAAAGTCCGTAAAATCATCATCATCTACAGCTTCAGATTCAAATGGTACACTTACTGCAAAATTAAAAGAGTTAAGTGAAAATGATGACGTTCCTGCACCGTTGAATTTACCGTTTGGCAAATTGTTCTTTGGGTATAGATTACGTGCTCCGAAAGCGGAGGCGGGATTAAGTCAACCATCATCCACATTTGACGGTAAAGGTTATTCTTTGAAATAAGTATAGGAACGGAAATATTAAAAGATTATTTAATGAGCCCATTAGTTTTTCACATGATACATATATATATTTTGATAAATTTAAACCTTCGACTAATAGAAAAGAAAAATATATTGCAAATAATGATTAATTTGATTATAATAATGTATTATAATAGTATACCACAAGTACATTTGTCATTTTCATTGTTGTCCATTTATAAAAAAAAAAAAAAAAAATTTTTCAATCAACAAATCATTTATTCAGAAAAGAAATTTTAATATCCGAACAATTGCACTTTTCCTTGATATATAAATGTTAAATTATCTTTTAAAAGATGAAATAAATATATTTGTAAAGAAAAAAATATATATATTATTTTTTGAAATTATATTTTGTAATAAAAAGAAAGGAAAATTGATGAAAATTTGCTTTTATATGCTAAATATTATTATTTTAAAATAAATTTGTCTGCATTTTTATTTAATAATTAAATTTGTTTAAATTTTTATAATAAAATAAATATATAATAAATTTTAAATTTATATATCATTTATTAATCTTCAAATATAAAAATACTACATTTAATAGGTCTTAAAAAATTGAAAAATTATAAAATTGATATATTATAATAACTATTTTATATTTTTATAATTACTAGATATCAAAATATTATAAGTTTTTTTTTATTATATAATAGCTTTACACAAACTTTATTAATAGTAAAATAAAATTATATAAATTACAAATTACAAATTAAAAAAAATACTAAAATTCTATCTAATTAAAAAAATAAAATTAAATCAAATCAATTTTATATTATTAATTTACTCTAAACTCATTTAAATAAATTTAATAATTTAATACAAAAATCTGATTGTAATTGATTTAAAAATTTAACCAATTGGTATAATTAAAATAGAAATAAAATAAGAAAAATTATAAAAAATATGAGTTAAAAAAAGGAAAACTTGTGATAATAAAATGTGTTTTTATTCAATATTAAAGATGTTATTAAAGTTTCAAATTATTTAATAATAGTATAATATTCTATTCAAAAGGTTTTAATTTAAAGAAAAGTGTAATAATAAGTAACAGAAAGAAAACTAAGAATTAAAGATTTATTATTGAAGAGTTAATGAGTTTTAAATAAAAAAAATTAGAAATAATGTCTTTTGAGAATCATAATCAAAATAAAATAACTAAGAGTCTCTGTTAATTAATTTGATAATAATTTTACAAAACATTCTAATAACATGATAAAATAAGTATTATTAAGATAGTATTTTTATAATTTAAGTTTTAAAATAGAATATATAAATACTAAATTTTAAAATCTATCATACAAGATAATTGAGATAAACATAGATAAAATACACAAAACTTATTTTATTTTTGAATCAAGATATTTAATATCTTATTAAAATCTTTAAGAAATTTAACATTATTATTAAAAGTATAAGAAAAAATTGAAATTAGTTAACTAATTCATTAAATTATTATAGATCTAAAGGTTGAAGATTGAAAGAATTCATTCTATAATTTTCATTCTTTAATAAGTATAAAAATAGTGGCAAATATTAGTATCTATTAAAAGTAATAGTAATTTTTATTTAACATTTTCAGCTAATGTGAATTATCTAATAGATTATCTAAGCATCTGTCTAAAATAATAATTTTTTTATGTTTATTAAGAATAGAGTCAAACATTTTAGATTAATTATTATAAAAATTATTATATCTAAGTTTTAATACAACTTTAATTTAATCTAACTTATTTTATTATTTTTAATTTTAATAACAATTAAGTAGATTTTGAATAACGCTTTAATATTATATAAAATTAATATAAGATCTTGTATTATAAGATTAATAACACATTTTAAGTGATATTATATAAAGTTGTTATAGAAAATATATTATTATATATAAGAAGTCAAAATATAATTTAAATAAATACATTTTTAGTTAGACAATATAATTTCTGAATAATTATCTTTTAAATGGTAATATAAGTAAATTTATCTGCAATTTTATTTTAAAAAAAATTATTATTAGTAAAGTTTTTTAATTTTATTAAAAAATTATATTAATTTGCAAATATAATGATCAACTTGATGATCATCAAATAAATAATTAGTATTTAGCTAATTATTAAAATTAAATCTATAAAATAAATATTAAAAATTAAAAATTTTAATGTTTTATATTTTTTCTTATATTTTTATTATTTCTATTTTTATTATAAAAGCTAATAAAGTAAAATATAAATATATTGATAAACTTTCAAAAATATTTTACAATCAGATATTAATAATGTACAGAATATTATAAATGATAATAATATTAAAATAATTAAAAGAAAGTATTAAAAGTAAAGGTAAAAATAAAGGTAAAAATAAAGGTAGAAGTAAAAATAAAAGTAAAAGTAGCAGTAGTGATAGAGAAACAAGTTATAATAATAAAGATAAATAAATTACATAACTTTTAGTTTTCCTTTTTTTAATATTCTAATATTAATACATAATTTATATGATCTATATAACTTGTTATAAGTTATTTATCATTTATAAGGATTTATGACTTATATGTTTTAACTATAATTATATAATTCTAAAATACAAAGTTATTTATGAATTTTTATTAAAAACTGTTAAAGCTGTTACACTATATATTATATAATTATAAAGTTTATCTTTAATATAATAACTTTAATTTAAGTATGATAATCATATTAGTTATTTTTATAATTTAAATGTTAAAATAAAATAAAATAAATAAATGTATTATAAATTTATTAATGTAAATTTATACAAATTATTAAAAATTTAACCTGTAAATTTTATTGTAAAAATTGACTTATTTTTTTATTAATATTCATTTAAAAATCTAATATATATAGATAGCTCTAAATTATTTATAAAATAAAGTAATAATTCTTATTTTACATTTTAATTATTTGCTAAATAAATATTATATATTTCTACCAAAAAATCATTAGCAAAATATTTGTTGAACAGCAATTTATTATTATTATTTGTAATAAAATTTTTATAATTAGCTTCTTCAATTTATTAAGAAATAATATTATCAAATTAATTCTCATTTTTTTTTAAGTATTTAGTTATATTTTATTCTTTTCTCTTTTTTTTCTTTATTATTATTATTATTATTATTATTATTTATATTTTTTATTATTACTAACTATTATTAAACCCTTTTTATCAATATTTTGTTTTTAATTAAAATCATCAAAATCATCATCTTCAGCAATAATAATTATAATATAAAGCTATTGCATATTCTAGTTAACTTGATTAACTTCTTTAATTCAGTATTAATATAAAATATTATTATGAATTTTACTTTTTGCAAGCACTTTTTATGCTAAATAATAATAACAATTAAAAAAAAATAAATATAAGTATTTTTTTATAAAAAATACTGGTTATATTATTTTAAATATAAAATTAAATTATTATATCTAAATAATTTTACTTATTAGTATAAAAAACCTATTAATAATCATAAATATTTAATTAAAGTTTAGTTTACACAAATATCATAAATATTAGTAATTATTTTAGTTAGTTCTTATCTAATTTCTATTATTGATTTCTAAAATTTAATACATTTCTTGAAATTGAAGAAAAGAATCATTATTATACAAATTATTTTTTTTTTATAATTAATTAATTCTACTAAAACTATTTTAGCTAAAGTTTCTAAAAAGCAAATGATAGTATTTAAACATTGACTAATATATATTCATATTAAATTATTTACTATTAATTAAAATTTTAATAACTTATAAGATGGATAAAAGGTAATAGAAAGTAACAATAATAGTTATTCTTAATTTTTCTATTTATTTTTCATTCTAGATAATACTATTTTTTCTGAAAAAACTGGATTATAATATTTAAAAAAGATTTTTGTAATATATGCAAAACAATATATTACTTCATAAAAATATATAGTATTTTTTTGTAATTTATTTAAAAATTCATATAAAGAATACAATAAATTTTGCAAAGAAAATAATATTATTCAGAATTCAGAATTATTATTGCTATCTGCAATATTATTAGGTAATTTACATTCTTTATTACTTTTTTTAGAAATAATATTTATGTAAATAATTTTATATTAAATTTTGCAAATAATAACTAATTTATTATAAAAATACAAAAAATTTTTTAATAAATTATTAATATTAATAAATCAAAATTAAATTATTTTTAAAGCTGTTTAAGATTTTAAATTAAATAAAAATAAAAATAATATAAATTTCACTTTATATTATCAGATAATACTAATTTGATTATTTTTTTATAAATTTATTTTTATTTATTTTATAAATTTCTTATAAAAAATATAAAGCTATGAAAATAATTAACAATTCTAACTATCTCTTTAAAAACATTTTGAAATATTAGATTTTTTTTTACTAAATACTAAATTTATTAAGTATATTATACAAAGGAAAAAATATTTTTTGCAAAATATTTTCATCTTAATTATTTTCTAATTAATAATTTAATATTTAAAATATGCTACTATCAGTATTAGAATTGAACTTTATCTAATTCTCATTAATAGACTAATAAACTTTGAATTTAATGGAGATATCTAATCTAATTTTAATTTAAATAGACTATGATTATATAATTTTAATCAAGTTATAATTTTATATATCATAATTCTAAATTTATAATGCTAGCTTAACTTAAATTTGAATGATAATAAAATTATTCTTCTTAAATGATCAATAATAAATTTGTTTAACTAAAATAATCCTTTTGACCTAACCTTGATTTTTTAGATGATAAGAGCTTAAAACTAATATTACAAATATTTTAAATTTATCTCATTCTATTAAAATCAAAATTTTAAATGAAAACATTTAGATATTTATACTGAGAATTTTAGGGATTCTAATTATTTGTCAAATTTTATATTAAATAATAATAAATAAATTAATAAAATTCTAACAAATATTAATAAAAATGCTTTACATA